AACACACGAGGCATACTGCTGCAGTGCAGAGGAGAAAGAGAGAGCAAGTACTTCGATGTAACACACTTTGTTGTACAGAAGTGCAGCTCCAGCTGGAGTCCTGCACCTGGAGGTTCTGAGTGGCAGAATTGGGGGGGGAGGGCTGCCACAAGCATCTTCTGCTCTGTAACACTTGCTGAGTCTTGAGACAGAATGGGCTTAGAGGTTGTTCTGTAACTATTTCTTTGTGTGTTCTAGCTATTTTAAGAGATACTTTAATTCCTTTTGGTCTCACTGATATTTGAGCTGCTCTTTGCCTTTCTTTAAGACCACTTGCATTTTTGTTCTACTTTCATAATTTCCACCTCCCAACAGCAACAAAATAGGACTTTAAGCAGCCATTCTGAGAAGTCTGTCAAAAAGGTTTAATTCAGAACTATATTATAAAAGAATAGAATAGACTATTTCAGTTGCAGGGGATCTATGACAACCATCTAGTCCAACTACCTGAGCAATTCAGGGTTGACCAAAAGTTAAAGCATGTTAAGGGCATTGTCCAAATGCCTCTTAAACACTGACAGGCCTGGGGCATCGACCACCTCTCGAGGAAGCCTTTTCCAGTGTTTGTCCACCCTCTCAGGAAAGAAATGCTTCCTAATGTCCAGTCTAAACCTCCCCTGGAGCAGCTTTGAACCATTCCCACACGTTCTGTCGCTGGATCCCGGGGAGAAGAGCTCAGCACCCCCCTCACTGCTTCCCCTCCTCAGAAAGCTGCAGAGAGCAATAAGGTTACCCCTCAGCCTCTTTTTCTCCAAACCAGACAGGCCCAAAGTCCTTGGCTGCTCCTCACAGGACATTCCTTCCAGCCCTTTCACCAGCTTTGTTGCCCTCCTCCGAACGCATTCAAGGACCTTCATATCCTTCTTAAATTGTGGGGCCCAGAACTGCACACAGTATTCAAGCTGAGGCCACACCATTGCTGAATACAGCGGGATAATCGCCTCTTTTGATGGGCTGATTGTGCTGTGTTTGATGCACCCCAGGATGTGGTTTGCCCTCTTGGCTGCCAGATAAGTATTTGTCTTCTGTCTGTGGTATGACATTGCCATGCTAGGTGTAGTGAACAAAACAAATGTCTGTTGATCCATTCTTAAATTTGCATTTCTTTCATCTTTACATGGATAACGTAGAATCACAGGATGGTTTGGGTTGGAAGGGACCTTTGAAGATCATCTAGTTCCAACTCCTGACATAACAGCTCTGTTAAATAGTTGTAACTTAGCATGCAAATTCTTGCCTTTTTTTTTTAATGAAGGAAAAATGAAGATGTAGTAATTGTATCTTGTGTAATCACACTCATGTTGACATGTGATGTTTCACATTGTGAAACGTGAGCAGAGTGAAAAGCTAGGTTGTTCATTTCCTTGTGCACTCCTGCCTTGGAAGATAAGGGAGTAGCTAAGGTAAAGTGCTTTTGCTGCTCTGCCTCTAGGTCAGCACAGGGGGAGCTGAAATGGACTTTGCCAGGAGATAGCAATATCCATTGGTGTCAGAGAACTGATGCCACTCAAACCCTGTGACCCTTAATCAGGACCAGGATGGGAGCAAATGGTAGTTGGACAGACTCAAAAGCTCATCCCTGGTAAATTCTTTGCCTTTCCTTCTTCAGCTTGTCACTCTCCAACCCATGGGACATACTCACCTCCAAATCATCTCATGATGATTCTTCAAAGCTGACCAAAGTGTTCTCCTGCTGGAAGAATCGTAATTCCTTTGGCCCGTTCGTCCCTGCCTCTGTGCTGTCCTTGTATGGGCAAGAAAGAAGTGCTAGGAAATGCCTAAAAATAAGCAGAGTGGGTTTTGCCTATTTCAGCATCGAGGCCACATTCGTTAAGGTACAGATGTGTTGATGTGATATGTCTGAGTTGATCTATCACCGTTGCTGAAGTTGAAAGGTCCTACTCCTGTCTGTCTTTGAGAGGTTCCCAGTGCCTGTCTGATGGCATGGTAGATTGCTTAGAATCACCCAATATAGCAGAAATTAACCTAGCAAAACCAAACCAAACCAAAAATTAGTTTTTAATTTGGTTTCTGAATTGAATTGACTTAATTGTCAGGCGAATAGTCACCAGAGCCAGCTCAATGGAGAGGGCAAGTCAAAGCAGCAATAGCAGGATGGCTACTTCTAGCAGCTGTCAATCATTCACTTCACTCTGACTTGAGAAGTAACCTTGGCTCTATTTCTCTCCTCTCCATCCCCAAAACTTTCTTGTCATGCTTTCTTATCCCACTGTCCTGCTCTGAGTTGTTCTGGGTTCTGGTTACTTCCTCGCTTTCCTGTTGCTCTACCATTGCTACATCCATGTCTCTTCCTCACCTCATGGGTTTTAGTTTCCTGACACTCTGAGCTCTGCTCTGTTCCTCCTCCACTTTTCCATGGCTTTCAGGGAATTTCATTCACAGAATTCTCATTAAGTCTTGGCCTCCCTCCTTACCCTTTCCTTTTTTTGCTCCCAGAATCTGTTTAGCAATTCCCATTCCTTCCTCTCTGCTCTTTCTGGCGGCTCCCTACCCCAGTCCATAGCTGCATCCTCGCCTGTGCTGATTTTTAGTCTCAGTCAGCACCAAGACCATACTAATTTTTAATTCCCATTCTCCTAAGTCTCTTTCTCCTCCACTTCTTTTACCATGTCCAATGACTTTTCCTTCCCTGGGCTTTAAATGCCATTTTCCCTTCACGAACCAGTCTGTCTCTGTTTTGTTTCTGGTTGTCCTGCTCAGGCTGCGGTTCCATGAACAAACAGTTCTTTCAGGGGAGCGCTGGGTTTTGCAGTGATATTTTTATGCCTCTGAAGTTCTCTGATCCGGTTTATTGCATAGCCCACACAAACAGTTGTGCCGGCATGATGGGAGAGGAATTGGGATAGAAAGCATGTATGTTAGCCCTGATGTTGGACAATGTGTCAGTGAGACCGGTCTCCTTCCTTAAATAGTTTGGGTTTACATCTTTCCAGCTCACAAAGCTGCTCCCAATTTCTCTCTTCCTCTGCAGTATCAGACTCATCAGACTGCAGCTCAGTTTGCTCCTTTCACTCTTAAGTCTTTTCTCATACCTGTCTGCATTCAGAGCAAATGAAGCTCTGCTTTCATGATATCAGGGCATCAGGTGGCTGGAGAAAGCTGTTGTGCGGGTTTTGTCTGGTTTTTAAGTGGTTTTTATCCAGTGGTGTTTCTCATACCAAAATGGGACACTTCTTGATAGGAGTCTTTATTCCTATTTTATCATTCATCTGTTGGTTCCCTCTCATCTTGAACTTACTTTACCATTATAAACTGGGGCATTGTGGTTTTTTTTCCTTCTTAGTGCTGAAATGGATTTGTATGTCCTAGTCAAAGTCTTTCCCATTAAAACAGAAAACAAAAAAAGTGGCAGATATGTCTGCATGCTTTGTAACTAGTAGACTGTCCTTGTTCGGTGTCTTGTGCTAGAGACGAGCAAAAGCTTTATGAAGCTCACTCGAAGGACTCAATTTCTGCCTAGCCTTTGTCAGCTAACAATGGAACCATAATCTGTATCAGGTTTAACTTTGCACTGTCAAAAAGTCGTAGTTTTTTAACTGGAGATGTAATATCCTGGTACCTTTCATTTATGTAGTTTTATTGCACCTCATCTTTTCATCTAACCCTTGACTATTCATAAAGCTAACAATGTCTTTTCCCCATCAGAACATCTTTCTGTCCTGTCCGTCTTGGACTCAATGCTTGACGTATTAAAAGGAGGAATGGTGTCTGTGTTTCAGGATGCGAAATCATCAGTAGGATCAAATCTCCGTTATAGCGCATAGCTATTCGTGTTGGGTGTGTAAAGTGGTGCCAGCCATGCATGTGCTGCTCTGGATCTTGGGACTATTGCTGGTCTTTGCTTACTCCAGATGGCTTTGTCTTAATTGAGCCTGTGAGGGTATCTGTGTTAAGTGTCTCATTTTGGGGGGCATTTGCTGTTAGGATCAGTGACTAAGCTACTTTTGGACGCGGTGTATGTGGTATTATATCCAAATAAGTCTATAAAGAACTGTGCCTATGGGTGGGGACAGTGCCAGAAACAGCTGAGGCCTATTAGCAGTGCTAGCATTTGAACTTTTTCCTTTGCTGGGATATTCCCCTCCTCTTCATTACTCCAGAAGGTGAAGGGTTGACTGGAGCATGAGAGATCCATCCACCGCCCTGACTTTCTGACAGCAATGATTCTTCGAAGTCTGAATGCCTAAATCATCCCTTTCTCAGCAGAGTACTGACATCTGTGCCTGCTGTTCACGCTTAGCTGAACTGGGAATAACCTTAATCGTTGAACCATTCCTAAAGCAAGCTGGCAATTAAATTCCACTAATCTATGGTCTCCCATTCTCTGTATGTTCAAATGGTGTGATTCTTCATTAGTAAGCTTCAAATGCTGTGTAAAAGCGGAAGTTTCTTTTAAATATACCAGTTTATACCATACGCATTGCAAATCAGTTGTTAGATAAGACAGGGCTTTCTAGTCCTGTTCCAGAAGACATTTATGTAGTAATGTGTTAATAATGTGCTAATTTAATTGGGGGGGGAGGGGGAGAGTGTTCATTGAAATACAATGCTGAAAAAAGTAACTTCTAGAAGTTTGTTTAGATATCTTTTCTAAATGCTAGACAGAGCAATAATTGTGTACACTTAGTGCCAGGTAGATATGTGTTTTGGGGGTACCAAGATAGATCATAATAATTTGCAATGTTTAATAAGTATCCCAAGTAACTCTGGACGTTCAGTTGCAGGACCAGCACTGCCTCCAGGCTACAAAAGCAGCTGTAGCTCAGAAGCTTCTGACAGTGATGATGACTCGGAATCTTCTCCTCTACCCAGAGATGCAAACAGAGATTCTGAAGAGGAGACAGAAGGAGATCCAGCACCCAAGTGAGTATGTTCTTAGGTTATTTATATATTCCTGTTTTATTGCGAATGGAATGTGTCTGCATAAAGTATGACAAAGGGACAGTATTATATCAATAAAAAGGTAAACCCTGTACCTGTGTAAAACTTGATGGCATGTTCTGCCTGTTCTTTGCAGTCAAGAATTTTCAGCTGACCTGTTTGACACCCTGTGGTGGAATTAAGTTATTTAGGGTAATCAGATCTCTATAAGTACGTGTTTCTAGTTTTGCAATTAAAGTAATAAAGTCCTTAATATTTTAGTTGTTTATACTAAGGGCAGACACCACTTGTCATGTATGTAAGTGTTTGGTCCTTGAGTTTTGCCCTGTTTCTGGTGTACTACCTCTCATTGAGAGGTCATAAAAACTATTTATGGGCATGAATTTATGCACTCAATTAAGTCAGCTCTAATGAAAAAAAAAAAAAGAATTGTTTAGCAAATAACAGGAGTCTGGACATACTCGCATTTGGTGGGGTTGATTACTCAATTCTGCTAAGAACTTGTTTGTGTTTGTGCTAGGCCTTGTATAAGGGACTTGAAGAGCATTATGCCATCTTAATGAGCATCAGAGTAATTATTGCTCACTTTTCTCTTGTCTTATTCAACAGTTTTTCAGTTCAGTAGAATTGAACTGGGAAAAATACTAGTCAAAATGCAGACAGTATAAAAAATGCAGAAGTGTGCTGAATTTAAAATTACTTTCTGACTAGAAAATGGTATTTCAACATTTTACTACTCTTCTTTCTACAGCAAAAGCATTCTTAATGTTTTTTTTTTAAATGTCAGAGCATTTTTGGAGTGAAGCTTATGCTCCCAATTTTTTAATTGCTTAAAATTATTTTTGATCCTTTTGCACTGTTTCCTTGGTAACAGCAGGATATTTAGTACATAAGACTGTCTGAAATAATTTTATGTATTTTTTCCCTTTTTAAAATGTAGATAATTGCTATGTATGTCAAGGTAATTATTAAGTGAAATTTTTGTATTTCCAGAAAGCCAAAAACAATTCAGGATGACGATGATGATGGCTTTTTTGGGCCTGCTCTTCCTCCTGGATTTAAAAAACAGGATGATTCTCCGGAGAGGTAATTAAAATGGAATTAGATTCAGACTCTTTTCCTTAAAACACAATTATTTCAGATAAAATATTTTGTGGCGCTATTACAGAACACTTCAATTGTGCACTTCAGATTCAGATGATTAGAATTGCTTCCTCCACATTCTGAGAAGAGGAACAGCATTCCCTTGAAACAGAACACACAGCCCTCCTAGTCCTGGTTGGAAAGTTGGAGAGAAAAAGAAAAAATGTGAATTTTCTCAGTTATATTTTGAATGTCATATTTCTTCCGCCTCTTCTGATAGGTCTCAGATCAGCGCAGGAAAAAAACAAATTACAGGTACAAGGACCCATAGTTCTGCAGTTTATTCTGGGCTGTGAAGGCATTAGGGCAGTTAGCTTTTGTGTGGGGCAGTACAATGCACGTTATTGGAACTGTCATTTGGTAATGCACCAAGGATTATTGTTTAGGTGGCTCCAGGTAGAAAACTAAACTGAACAGTGTAGGTTTCTAGAAAGCAAGCTGTCAGGTCTAAGCAAATAAGCATTATTTATAGCCTCTATCAGGAAGCTTTCCATTTACATCAGTCTGTGCACTTCCTTCTATAATTCCTTCTATAAATCCATACTGAAATTGGTACTTCCAAGGGGACGATTATTGATGAAAGGTACAAGAGAGTCCCTTGATCACTGTTACCTTCCCTATAGCAATAGGAAGCTGGTAGATAAAATAAATCAATACCTACCTATCAGGTATGAGTTTTCAGTTCTAGGAAAGTGAATCAATTTGTTGTTGAGCTGTGTATGTAGTATACCATCTCAACGGAAACTTCAAAGTTGAAATTTTTTAGTTTGGATAAATTGTTATGGTGCTTGGCAGCAGTTAGGAAAATGAAAATTTATGTAACTAAGGTTACTTGGAAGTATCCTCTTCATCTGTTTGGTTACACTTTATTGTAATCAACAAACTTTTGTAATTGTGGGTATCATGCTTAGTGGGCTCATTTGGTGCTTTGATGGTCCCAAGAGTAGCATCTTTTCTTCTTATTATGGTTCATATACACAATGTGTTATTTTAATTATAAAATTTAGGAAGCCGCTAAAAATAATGTGATCTCTAGTAAAGTAAATAAATGCTTGCAGTTTTTAATATCAGTGGAAGTAGCTTTCTTGATTTTTGACATGAATACTCTCTGGTAAAACGTTATGTCAAAGTGTACAAAGGAAAAGAGAAAGGAGAGGTAACTTGTAGTTTGAAGGTTAGAGAGATGAGCAGTAATACAGGTGGTCGCCTGTCATATAATATTACTCTTTTGTATGTTCGCAGAACTTTTATTTCTACTTAGCAGTTTATTTCCAAAATGGTGGATAACTTGCATTTACATTCAGAGGGCAAGAGTCTGCTCTGTAGGTGTGAGTATGAGAAATTAAAGCAGTAACAGGCACTTGCCAAGTTGTTGGGATGTTGTTTTTTTTTTTTCATTCTAGCTCACCATACAACCGCTCCTAGCACACTCTGAAAAAGCAGATTGAGCAGAGCTGTTTTGCACCCAGCCCGATTCCCTGAATAGGTGGGAAAGGTGCGATGTGTGGGACGAGCCTTGTCTGTCTTCCACCCCCGTACACCTGGCAGTCTAGTTGTGCTGACACACTGAGGGGCGTAAGCTGTGCAGGGTGTAGACACAATGTTGTTAACTGTCTCCCTGCTGCATTGCCCTTAGTGTTGAGCAGATTGCCAGCTGACAATCTAGCCATGAATAATTTAAACAAATGCAGGCTGTTTCAATGTATGGGCATACTGTTTATTAGCTCTGTGTGACATTTTCGTTCTTTTAGAAAAGCTTTTGTTCTGTTGCATATTTTCCAGACTTGTCAAAACAACATATTCACGATTAGGAGCAGCTCATGTGGCAATTTGCAGCTTGCTAAAAATTGTTTGAATCATTCCAGCATAATATATGCATATGAACAGATTTCCTTCAACTTTGGAAAAGATATTACTGTTTATCAATGTTAGACAGAAGTGCAGCACTCATAAATATTCCTAAAGTGTTCACGCATCAAGGTAAAGAGAGAAGGTTTTCTTAAAAAAAAAAAAAAAAAGTTATATATCAGAAGAATGCTGAAATGCCCATCTTAAAACATGCATTAGCAAGGACTCCAAGTCCAACGACACGAAAGCATTCTTTGCCATACATGGAATCCAATATTCCTTAAATAAAAGCTTAATTCATTATAAGTGTGGGGTGTTTTTTGAATGTGTATAGATAAATACTGAAGTTGCCAACAGTAGCAAAATGTGTTTAACAGAGTTTTGTTTAGATTTACTTCACCTGTTCAGTAAGCCTTTGGACAGGAAACTGTCAGGAATCACGTCGACTGTGTGGTACTGAGGAAAGACCTGAGGAACAGGGTTATTCATGTAGGGGAAAAAAAAAAAAAAGAAATGGAAAGCGTGGGAGGGATGAATATGGGAATCATTTTTCTAATCCTTGGAAGAGCCTTTGAGCTGTGGCAGAAGCAAGGCAGAGTGAGATCTGCTCTTTTTCACAGGTTGCACGGATATGGCCCACAACATAGATGTTCTTATATATTTTAGTAGAAAGCTTTTTTTATATAGCTTGGTTTAACTGTCTCTCCATGCAAAATAAAGGTACTTGCCTACTAAAATAAAAGATTATTTTGGCCATATCTGCATAGGTTTAAATGCAATCTCTTTAAATTACATCAGGAATTTAAAATATGGTCTTAACAAGAAAGCAGTCAAAACGAAACAGAGGAAAATAAAAGCTGTTTCTTTTTTGCAGCAGCTAGGTGGGAGTGGAACTTCAAATTCAACCCAGATTTCTTGCCTGGGTTTGAAACCTCACCAGTGCCCTTGTCCAGGTCTGAGCTCACATTTATTGCTTGTGTCTGTCAGTCTGTGGTTGGCTTTCTGGCAGGACTTTCTGCTTTTTATTCTCTTCTTCAAATCCTGACAATAATATTACTACAGCACGGCTGTACTGATTAGATTATGCGGGATTTAGTAGAAGACCATAATTAACATAATTCAATTCATGTTGTGTTACGTTTAATCTCCCTAAGGCTCAGAAACTGAAGATCATAATAAACAAAGTATCTGCTGATACATTGTGAGGATACTGTCACTTGGATATTTCTTCAGTTGATAATTGTTTGGGTTGTTAATTAGGTTTTATTAGATTTAATGACTGTAATGGTGGATTATTAAGAGGAAATCATATACAAAAGTCTTTTCATTACTGAAAGCACAGTTTGTGGTACGCTTTGGACTGTTTTCACCACTGAAAAGAGATTCTTACCTGTGTTCCTGGAGACAATTGAATTATACTGCTTGCAGAGCTGCTGTGTAAAAACAAATCAGTGAAGTTACCTGGGATCACAAAACTTTTATTCTCTCGTTCCCACTCCAAGGGAAAAAAATCAGAGCAGTTCACTGATTCTGTTTGTTGAAGGACAGTGAAACTTTGGCACCAGGCAAGAATGAACAAAATTGTCTTTGTTGCTAGAGAAAGAGTAGCGTATATTTGACCTCCCACCTTTCATTGCTTGTGAATCTGGTGAAGGAAGCTAGGGAAGAAAAAAGTGGATTTCCTTGACTACATGCTGCAGCTTTTGTGGTTTTCTTGCATTCTAGCTCTCTGCAAAGGTCCTCCTGGAAAATGGAGAAACTCTTCTTATTCAGTTATTTCAATGTGTGCGCATAGGGGGCACACTTGGTATGGGAGGAGAGAGAATCACACTTCTCATCAGCATTTGATTTTTATTTTTATATTAATCTATTACATTTTTTTTCCTGCAGCAAATGGTGGAAGGCTGTCATTTAATGTACAGTCTATGTTGGTTATGTTACTTCCCTTTTTTTCCCCTTTAACTGAAAACCAGGATTTCTTTTTTTTTTTTCTTTTTTCCCCCCCTCAAGGCCCATTATAGGTCCTGCGTTACCACCTGGCTTTAGGAAACCTTCAGAGGACACCGGGAATAGCAGATGTTCCATAGGACCATCTGTTTCATCAGAATTCCATACCCAGGTTTGTGAAAACAGAAGCCTTTTGTTTTAGTACAAGCTATCTGAAATGCTTAAACAAGTAGGAGCCTGAAAAAGTCTACTAGACATACTTTTAAGCATGAGAGTTTAATTTTAGACCAGAAAGTGTCTGGCATATTTTTGCCTGAGTCAAATACTGAAGCATAAGTAAGCCTTAAAAAAGCAAGAGGCTGGTCTGGTTTGTTGTGATTTTGCCGTTAGACGGATGATGCACTCACTGAACACAAGATCCAGGCATCCCAAACTGCAGTCACAGTAATTCTTCCTAATGTTTTTCTATTCTTTCTTTTGGTGTGACATCCTTCACAAGTGAGTATCTTGGCAAAGTTTAAATTTTTCAAGACATTAAAGAAGTAATGCAAACTGTTAGAATGAAAATATTTACCTATAATTCAAGCTTTTACTCCTTTGCTGATGAGGGAGCAAATGATTTGAGTATTTTGTATATCTTCACCTCATTAAAAATATTCGTTAGTGGACGTGTTAAGTTTATCCAAAAGAATGCAATCAAGAATGACACTACAGTGTCACTAATTGTTCTTATCAATAGGAAGGTGATACCTATAACTGGGAGTAAGGCAGAGCAGGACAGTGACACTGACACAATTTTTTGGTTTGTGGTTTTTGACTGTTCTCATCAGGTTAGGTAAAAACTCGGTAGAAGTCCTATAGTCTAATCCCTAGCCGCAAAACAACGCATGTACCGCTAAAGAACATTCAGGAGTAAGATGTGTGACAAAATATAGCAAGAAGCATGGGGAAGATTCTGCTCCCTAAACCTGGGCCTCTACTACCATTCTGAGGGATCTGAATTGTTTGCAGCAGGCTAGCAGACAGGGAGTAGCACCTTAAAGAAGCTTGCATCCTTCTTGAGCAGCACCTCTTAAGGCAGACAGGACACCCTGAGACATCAAAAATAGTGCTGGATACCAGTGTTTAGGCAACTGATTCTCTGTCATGCTCTGATAAACTAAATATTAATTCTTTGTGAGAATTAACTTTGGTTTCCACAGTTATTCTGTTTGTTTCTAAAATACTTACATTTTAAAGTTTAACTCCCAGGCACTATGGGACCTAGTAGGAAGGAATGAGGTAAAGGCTGCTCTGGAACTTCATTTTTTTGATTAGTAGTCGCAAAGTATATAATTCTCCAGCCTCCTACAGCGAGTGTTGTCATAATCCTTCATGAAGAATGATTGTCTGACACTTTTAAGATACTCATCGTCTCATAACTCCAAATAACGATTAAGCAATTTATCATAATGACAAATCTCTTGAGACAGGGATGTCAAAACTGGTCTCCTTATATATTTTACAAACAAAAAAGTCTCTTTTCTCCTGAATAGATCTTCTAGCATCAGCTTTGTTACAGCTATTACAGAACTTAGCTTTTTTTTTCCCTTTTCCTAATAATACTCTTTTTTTACCTTTGAATATGATGAGTAATTTTTTTTGTTTATTTTATTTCAATTTATTTAATAATTTTGTATTCAAATACATTTTTAGAGACAGCTTATTCCATGCTGACTCTTCACTTTATATTGATTTCCCCTTCAAACTTGAAGGCAGTATTTTTTAATGTTTGTTTAATTTCATGTTGTTTGAGGCAGGTGGTGATGGAGTGAATTGAACCTAAGACTAATGAGAAAGGAAATGAGACATGTTTCTTCAATTTAAACTCAGCGTGGAATTTGTCTTTCATCCTCCACTACTTTACAATACAATTTATTATGAAAGTCTTATATCTTTGCATTTTTTATTTGTTTGGACACAGAGGGAGGGAAGTGTTTTACTACCTTGTTTTCTCAAGATGGTTGTTCCTCTTCCCCACCAGCTCCCTCTTTAAAAAAAGAGAGAGACAGAGTGTAGTCACCCCATTCTCTAAAAGTTGAAGCAATGTCACAGTGGTAGATAATTAGTGAAAGCTCAACTATATAAATGTTTTTGAGAAAAATGACGAGAAAAGTTGGTGTTACTTACTTGCAGTCTTAGTGTTTATAGATGACCAGCTCTTTCTCACCTTCAGTCTTTCAGATCTATTTCATGCAACCGGTCCTACAGATATTAAATTTACCAAGCCTATTCTTGCACCTTGTGGTCCACAGCCATACGTAGCTGTGTCTCTTGCTACCTGAAGCTTGCCTTCCCCACTGTTCACACCTTTGCTGACTTCTAAGGGCAGATGGGGACCAACTGGCTTGGCTAGCTTGGAGTAGTGTCATTAAAGCACTCCAGTTTCTGTAGCAAACGGCACACATAGGAGTAAAGTGGCTAATTTCACACCTGCCACCTTCCTTAGCCCAAATCCCTCTACAGCAAGGGGATGCCAGCTATGAGCAGCCTGAAGTATTAGGCTTGAACTCAGTGTAGCAGGATACCTTTCCAGCTCTCCTCCTCCTTTTGCTTGTCCTCCATTCCCCATGCTCCCATTAGGTGACTCCTCTTGTGAGTTTCTGTGCTCTGTTCTTGTATTCTCCACTGGGTGACCTCTGCCTCAGGTGCCTTATTTTATGTAGAAGGCTCCTGATACTGTTTTTCCACTGCTCATCACCCTTGAGACCTTATCTTCTCTGATGGTGTCATAGCTTGGTCTGAAGATGTCTGCTTGGTAACCAAAGTTTGGTGTGACAAAACCAATCCATTCCCCCCTAACTTTTTTGTCCTTCATTTGACGCTTCTTTGCCACCACCTTATATTCTCAAATAATGGTCTGTGCTTCCTGAGTATGCAGCCTTGTCATCATCCTACTCCTATTGCTTTATCACCCACATCCAGGCTGTACCTAAATCTTTCCGCTTTCATAGATATTGGGCACCTTAATTTTGTTCCCCGGGCAGTGTGGTATCACCATTCTCTGCCTAGTTCTGCCTCCGTCCACATCCATACTGTTTTAACTTGGAGGGACCTGTGAGCTTTCTGTACAACCCTTGACATCCACAAAGATTCTTATTAACATCTAGTCCCTTCCAAATTTAGTTATGTGAACCATTCTCCAGGTAATCACTTAGAATGCAACGTCAAAAGGGATCAAAGAAGCAAATGACGGAACCAAGAGATTAGACTGGCAGATACTATACACCCAGGGGTGCAGTACCATGCATGTTTTTGTTGTGTGACTGGCGGATGCATTGCATTAGGTTTATATGCTCTTCTAGACAAAACTGTTCTAATCCTATGAAGCTACAGAGTTTCTTGATGGTCTTAGCACTATGGTTGAGAGAAATGTTTTATTTTTGGAAGGTAACAGATAGTAGTGAGGACGAAGACAATCTTATAGGGCCAATGCCTGCAAAAGGACCAGTGGAGTCTGATGTGACTAAAGACTTTGAACGCAGAGCTCAGAGAATGAAGGAAAAACTTACTTCAGCAGACAGTGTAAGTTGAATTTCTTAATTTCTAGTATTTTGTTGCTAGACTGTTTTTGTGTTTTTCTGTGTGAACCCAGTTGCAGGTCTGGTCGGGATGCTAAGTGTTTGCAGTTGTTAAAGAAAAATCCATGATTTCTACTGGAAGCTAAAAGATTCAGACAGCAATTTTTGATTATGCTTTTTTTTACTATCCCTCCCCCCATAATTCTTTTGTAAAGGATGAACCCAAACGAGTTACCAGGGAATCATGGATGACAGAGCTTCCACCTGAATTGAAAAGCTTTGGATTTGGCCCAAGAACATTCAAGAGAAGAGCTGATGACAAATCAGGCGATAGATCTATTTGGACAGATACTCCAGCTGACAGAGAGAGAAAAGCCAAGGTGAGCATTTATTCATTCATGTACACCTGTAGGCAGTATGTATGTGGTTGATATTCTGTGAAAACAAAGTAAAGATACCCTGAGCTGTTCAATGGAGGGTTTTTTCTAGATTTTTCTTTGTTATCAAAACTTATTCATTCACGCTTAAAGGTAAAGGCAAGGAAATAATGATTTTAAGTAACATTTATATTCATTTATTCCCTCTCCCTTCTGCAGTAGTCAGATACTCTGTATCAGCTCATTGAATTTCCAATTACAGTGTGTCCAGTTTCTTGTTCTATCAAGCTGAGCAAAAAATATCAGGTGGCCTTTATCGTGGCCTCTACTCTTCAGATTTAATTAAAGTAAATATAGATTTCCTTGCTTTTTACTTCAGACATTCTGATTACTATAGCGTGTTATTTGCTTCTACTCATCAGGAAAGAGAAGAGGCAAAAAAGTCAACCAGTAAGGATAATGAAGAAATTGTATTATCTGGGAGAGACAAGAGACTGGTTGAGCAGGTGACTTCATACAATGTAAGTGTAATAGCAAAATACTTCCTCCCCCTGCATTTTCTTTAATTCTTCACTCTTTTCTTCGGGTTCTCATTTCTAGTGCTGCTGGTTTCCATGGTGATGCCACTACAGTCTTCCCTTTCTGTGCCCAAACCTACTGGTGTTTAAGTCATTAGAACGTTCACCACTGACTTCAACAAGAACAGGATTGGGGTCTTCAGGCTGCTTGTGAAAACAATGTGACAGAATTGGGGTTTCTGTATATTGTCTCAATTTTAGGTGGTGTTTTCCTTAAATCATCTTCCTATCAGGACACAGTTGTTGGGAGTAGACAAGCTTAGCTCAAATATTAGCTTGCTTCACTGAATTACCAACATCCCAAGAATAAAACAGTAGTAAAGGTTTAACTTTTAGGACAAAATATGCGTCAACACAAAAGAAGCTTGATGGGCTAAGCAGATCAATGCATTAATTACACCATGTAATCGATTACGTTAACTGCTCATTACAACAGCATTATTACATGATTTTTTTCTCAATCTCTGCAGAAGCAGATAATTTTCACAGACAGATGTTGATTACTAGAAATCTGAATGTCATGTCAAATTCCCTCTCACTTTTCTGTCTGCCATCCCTGTCCGCCAGAGTATATGGACTGTTGCCGGCTTTACAGCTGTTCGTTCCAGTTCATCCCTGATTTATGGCCTGAAGTCTTATGGAAGGCAGTCTGGTCTCTTGAGAGTATAATTAACTTGAGAATCGCAGCCTTGGCTTATGTTACGTGATTGAAGTTTATCTGGCACTTTTAATAATTTATTTGTAGTTCATTAAATCACATGTCCCTCTTAGAGGTTTGCAAATCCAGAGCTATTAGCGTACTGTATTAAATTTCTTCTGTATTGTCTGTTTCTACTGTCATTATGAATATAGTAGAATAATTTTGAAGTAAAACTACAGGTTTTACTTTGTACCATTGCCAGAATAAAACACATATAGGCCTTTACTGTTTCTAAAGTTAATGGAGTTATCTCAAAAAACCTGAAGAAAGCATCTTGTTTAAGAACAATGTTTCTTGTGTTGTTTTGTTGTGTGTGTTTGTGGTTTTTTTTAAATCAGTCTTCTGATTTTCAGGTGGTTGATTTGGTTTTTTTCTTTTAAAGTTTTTTTCCTCTCTTCTTTCGTATTTCTTTCTCCACTGACCTTTATCAAGGATGCTTTCATAGAATAGGAGCTCTAATTCTTAAAATAATTTCTTAGAGTTAATTCATTCAGTGCTGATGCCATATACATTCCCTGGTGCAGTTCTGTCAACCCTGACACAGTTACACCGTGAATAAGTATTGTCCGTTTTCTGTTTTCCATGAGATTTGTTTCTCATGTCATGTATGAATTATTACTTGTATGTTTGATGAAGCAAGTGTATGCACAGGGAGTGAAGGAGAATGAACCTTCAGAAGAGAGCGTTCCTAGACATGAGAAAACAAGACCTGCTCATCTTTTGCCCTTTCTGATGAGAGAATTGGTTTGGACTGGTGTTTTGGCTGGTTTGTAATGATTTGAGAGTCTGAGAAGTCAACTACTTGGGAATACACAAATACACTTTACCTGAGTAAAGGATGGCCCATGTAGTCTTGTGAGAGCTAATGCTGCTCACCTGTGAGGTCAGCAAAAGTTTTATGTTGTATTTGGGCTGGATCATGCTCTTTAATAAATGCAACTGAAGTCCTTGACTTGGCAAAACACATGCTCTAGCTCAAACCTGTGACTTTGTCCTGCGGGCTTGCAACAGATGATTCAAATACTGAAAAGTTAAGAGCACACATTAAAAACCCAACAGTGCATGAGAGTAAGATCGAAAGGGTACCTACCTTGTCCCTGCCCCTAGCAGTGACCAAAACCAGATGCTTAGGGGAGATGTGTAAGAAACTGGGCCTGTACTTTGAGATATTTCTCTTGACTTGTTGTCTTCAGTTGTCTCTTCTAATGATGGCAGGGCAACTTTTATATTGCTTTTGCATTATTTCTGTAATTGATCTCCACTGTCTGCGGAGATTCAACACCATTATGCGTGTCAGTGAATTATTAGTATTTTATTCAGTGTAGACAAGATTATACGCGCTTTCTGTTCTGTGTATGCTAAATTTATCGTTCTGATTTCCAGTTACTAAGCTGTCTTCTTTTTCTGGAATTTTTAGCTTTCCCAGTTCCAGTCTTTCCATTTGCATTTGCTGTATGTTGTTGATATTTTGTAATACTTTATTTCCTCTTCCTTCTCCCTGCTTTGCCAGGAGTCAAAGAGGTCAGAATCTCTCATGGACATACATCAGAAAAAGCTAAAGAGCAAAGCTTCCGAAGAAAAGAACAAACCTCAAGAAAGAAGGCCATTTGACCGAGACCAGGATCTCAAAGTCAACCGATTTGATGAAGCACAAAAGAAAGCTCTCATAAGAAAATCCAGAGATCTGAATACTAAATTTGAGCACAGTAAAGGCAATATGTTTTTATAGCATAAAAGCATGAAGCTTTTTTGAAGTGAAGTCAATTAAACTTTGAATACTTAATTTTTTTAAGTATTTTTCTGTAAATATTTGTATGCAAAATAAATATCCTGATGTTTAACTATTTTTCCTTGTCTGTAAATACTCTGCTAGGGAGGAGCATCTGTATTAAAACTAAACTGCTATAGGAAAGTCTTGGTATAAAAAAAAAGATAATGTAAATTTGCTACTTTAAAACATTTATATATATATAGTTAGCATAAAAATGATTAATTAAAATAGGTATTATTTTAAGAAGCTCTAGATTTGATCTTGCAATGGAGTCGGCAGTTTTCTCCTTTCTCCTGCCACACTTAAGATATTTTTGCTGAGTGTGACCTGAAGGCCATGGAAAAATCCCCTTTAGACTCATGGGCAGGACATTGTGTGACCAGAGTTCCTGCTGGGGACCATAAACTCAAACGGCAGCTCTTATGTCCACCCAGTGCTTTTATTTCTGTGATTCTGTGTCTGTACATAAATACGGGTTTATACGTATGCAGTATAATTTCTGCACTATAGCAGGAAGAGCTAGTGGCAACAGAAGTAATAAAAACTCGAGATTTGCAGATTTAATTATAAAATGGTAGAATACAAGAAGAGAAAATCTAATTTGAGTTCCAATTTGTAGGGCTTGTCATCAGAAAATCCATCTTTTTTAAGCAAATACAATGCGAAAATCAAACCAAAATAAAGCTTATTTTGTCAGTTAATTTGCAGAGCAGAACAGCTCTTTGGTATGAAAAAGGAAATAAATCTGACATTTAAAAAAAAAAAATCTATATCCATGCTTAGAGTTCTTCAGCTTTTCTCTGTGTGTGTGAAGCAGCTGAAGGGAGGGTTGTGTTACTTATTTAAAATTAGACTTGTACTTTCATTCTTTTTCTCTCAAGTAATGTTTGGGATCCTTTTTGAAGAGTTACTGACAGTATCTATATATGAAAATAATTTTATATATGAGACGCTGGCAACTTGTTAGGAAGTGTGACACATTTTTGCGTATTAAATACCATGGGGTTCGCTGTAATTTGAAAAAAGGCTACCGTGACAGACGGTGTCTGGGTTGGCTCATGTTAACGGAGCAGTGACCCAACAAGCCCCAGAAACAAATGGCTAAAAACTTGGTATTTATTTTATTGCACATGTGCCTGAGCCCAAGGCACAGCCTCCACATTCTGAGAAGTCTTGGAGAGTTTTCAGTATCGCAAATGAATGCTTACATACAATATATTTAGGTACTGCTTTTTTTTTTTTTTTTTTTTAATAGACAATTTATTTTGCCGTCTGAAAAATCTGCCGTCTTTGGGAGGAAGAGGGACTGGTTTTATATTGTGTTTCGTTTTTCCTTAATCATTTTTGAGTTTCTGAGCCTTTTCCTCTTGAGGCAAGGGGGGAGGTTAAAGAAGGGGCTGTTTATTTTTCCTCCTGTAAAGTGGACTTATGTTAGTGCCTCGTGCTTTTTGTAGCATAGAAAACAATGTCTTGCCAGGTTTCTATCTTCTGAGTTGTGTCCTTGCCCTTTTTGGGGAGCTCCTCTGCAGCTGTGGATTAAATAACATATCTCTAGCAATTCAGCAAATGTCAATTTCTTGATTGGAAAGGCGGTATTAGGAATCTTTGTTTGTTTGTTTTTTTTAAGGCAACTAAAGCAATGGCAGGGTGAGCATCATGTGACTAGCTAAATCTTCATCGTTGACAAAAAATGACCCTCATGCCCACTTTTGGAAACCCTACTGCCTGGATAAATCAATTTATTGTCGGGTGTTGCCTTATGTCCCGAGAACATCGTGCAGTCCTCGCTCGTTCAGACAAGTCCGTAGCAGGGATGAGGGCTGCTTGTATTGAGATTTTGTTGTTGTTGCGTGCTTCGTTTTCATTTTTGTTCTTTGGTCCTTCCTCCTCCAAACCAAGGACCGCTCATCAGATATCGCAGGTGGCCAGATCTTGCCGTCCTGCTGTTTGCTCGCTGCCCTGCCCGGCCCCATCGCGGTCTCCTGTCCTCTTCAAGGACCTGTTTGAGTGGAGGCTGTGGGGTGCTGCTCACCAGGAGAGCTCTTGTAACGGGGAGGGGAGGGCAGGCAGCCCCTTTGCGGTCGTGCGGCGGTACGGTACACCCCCGCTATGCGGGATGTGTGCTTCTAATTAGTGAAGCCTTGATGTGAGTTGGGAACGTGTTTTCTCTCATCTGCTTAATTGTAGGTTTTTTCAGCTTTGAGGCAGCCTCTCAAAGACTCGATGAAATCTGTGTTACGAACTTGAGATAGAGGGGAAAGTGGAATTGTCGAGAGTTCAAATTAAGCTTTTCATTACTTTGTGTAAATTGAGTGAACTTTTGAATTGCGTTAATACACAAACTAATCTCCTGTTACGGTACCAAACCGTTCCCTCGAACAGTCATTAGGACAAGCAGCAGCTCAGTAAATTACAAACTCTGTAAGCTTTTGTGGGAAAAGATGAGCTGTCCTCTACAATTTGGACGAGCCGCAAAGCATTTCAGCAGAAATGTTAGTGGGTGATTTTTCAGAATCTCATTTGAAAAACCAGAATTTATTTCACAGAAAATCCTCACCATAATTACTGTGTAACGTTTCTGGTAACCGGCTCCCAACACAGATTTAATGGATTCTATTGCTATTCTGCGTTGCCAGCCTGCGTCGCGGTGTATTGACTGCAGGCACATCAGGAAACTCTGTTTTGTAAAAATAAAAAAAAAAAAAAAAGAAATCGTCAGAAGTTTTCCTGGATGTGAAAAGCCTATCAGCTGAGATTTGAAAGCGCTTGTCTTTGGTTTGTGCTGGCATAGACATTGTTTATTAATACTGATGCTAAAAATTTCTGCTCCAGAGTAGGATCCCCTTCTTCTGAAATGTCAAGTAAGCGTGGAAGGCAATTCATAGTGAAGCCAGTAGCAAGAAGGCTTTTGTGGTAGGCAAATGATAAATTGGGTGTTTAAGAGGAATTTTAAGGACTATTATATGTTAAAAACAAAAAAAACCCCAACCACAAACACCAAAATAACCCCTGTTGAGTCTGCTGTATTACCGAGGAACAATTAAAGGCAATATAACTTTCTGATTTCTTTGCATCCATATTCAGGACAAAATATTGAGCTATTACCATGTTTGATCCAGACAAATTTTGTTAGAGCAATACTGTCACCTGAGAAAAATCTCTGTCCTTGAGAAAAATTTCTGCTCTTTTGATTTAAACACCTATTTATGGAGAGTTATTTTTTTGCTTCTGCTGTTTGCAGTCAGTGGATGCACTATGCATGTTGGCTTTTTCTGGATGAAGTGTGTTTCCCAAATAACAAACAGCAATAGAAATGCATTTTATTTAAGGGTCTGATGGTGTCATGTTGATAGCACAAAAAAGGCATTGTCGAAATAGCTTTCTTCTCGAAAGAAACATTGAGATGAAACATTGATATGTTCCCGTTCAGTAGGAAATGGGTTTTTCCACATAAAAGAAGTTTCAAAATGCTCCAGAGGACTCCAGGAGTTTGGGGCTACTCGTGCCTGGGGACTTGTTTTGTTTCTGAAATGTAAACTTTGTTATTTCTATCCAGCCAATTATCTACTGTATGTTGATTTAAGAGTAATATAGCATTAAAAATCAGAATCTGTGAAAACTTTCTGTGCATGCATCCTTAACTTCAGCCACCACACCTGCATAGAAGGCATATAGTTTCTCATTGTGTGATTATCTAATTCTCAAATAAAACACATGCATATGATTTTCTGTCCTTATGAATTGTGTGCAGCGTTTTTTATGCTGGGGAAAAAAAAAAAAAGAAAGTTTTGTGTTGCCTTTCAGGCAACAGTTTTAGATTTTTCTCATGTGCTCACTAACGAAGATGGTGTCTTGTTACCTGAAGTCAATGAGGAACGCAAGTGTGGGGGTGCCAGTTGTTGCATGAAACACATCTTCCTCATGCTTTCAGCTCTGGCAGCCAAGTGGGAAGTGGTGACCCTCAACAATCATTCACCCAAATGCAGCATTTCTGTTGTTTTCTGTCTTGACATGAAGACTGAGGTATTACCTGCGCAGAGCTGATCTTTTCACAGCAGCCACTTCTGGGTCCTGCTGCAGTAACCATCACCACAACGGGCAAAAGCCCTTTCTCCATCATCCTGTCCTCCTTCCTTGTGGTTCCAATTGTCTGTTTTCTTACACTGGTCTTTAAACCAGCAATAAACCCCATTGCTCTTTGAAATTATACCCATTTTTAATCAGCATGGCAAATCAAGCCTTATTTTTTTGAAGAAAAAAAAAAAAAAGTCCTTCTTTTAGAGAGGGAACTTAAGGTCTCTAGGAGACAGCAGCATAGGCTGTTTGTCGCTCCAGCAGGAGCAGCTGCAGCTGTGACTTCTTCCAAATAAGCAATCCAAACATAAATATTCAAAAGAAATTCTCATAAGCAGACTTGGGGGGGGGGAAGAAAGAAGTGACTGGCCCAGACTCTCAGCTGCTTAACACTGCAATCGCTTGCTTTGATTCACAGCGTTGTAGCCACTTGTGGTACACCTGACCAGGAGTTTGACAACTTCCCCGCCTTGGGGCAAATCACATCCTCTCTGTCCTTTCCTGACTGTCCCTTTTGAGGAGCCTCACTCCCTATGTATGCCAATGCCTGACTTGCTAGAAAACACTTGATGTACATCAACAAATATTTTTTTGGTATGTTTTAATTTGTCTGAGCCCTGGAAGAGCCGCTGCAGCTCTCCCCATTGGTCCTCCTGGCAGGCTGGCTTTAAGAACAAGCCAAGTGCAGTTTTGCAGCTATTCCTTTATGTTTCCTAGGATCCATCCTTAGATCTTGCTGGCCTCTGGTTGACACCCATCACCAGCTTAGGGTCAGGAAGAAATTTGCCTGAGCCCAGCCACAGTGGGGAGAGGACAAGTGTTGAGTTATTACATCAGCCTCAACTCATGGAAGAGAAGACTCTTTGCCTGCTGGACCTTGATAACGGAGTTTATGGTAGAGCAGCAGAGCTGTGACAGCACCCTGAACCCATCAGCCGCCCTGGTTAAGTCTCTCAAGCCAGACTTTGGTTCAAACACAAGAAACCCCTGGGCAGGAGA